GCCCATGCATTGTACGCGTGTGTCCCTGTGTACTGGGGATACGTGCTCAGACTCGCTCCTAGCTGGGGCAGGGAGATGCAGCAACCTCAACTCTGCTGGGCTACCAGATGCTCTAACTTCTAATGTAGAATAAAAATTCTGCTGGAACAGCTGGTGTAGTGAAAGAAAATGTCCTGGTTTTTCCTTGGAAATATTTTTTAAAAGAAGGCATCTTTCTCTGACACTGTTATTTTGGTCATGAGCCTGGTAAGTTCTTCCTCTGCCACCCCCAAGTGCAATGCCCAAAGCAACCAGCTGTACATTGTGATCACTTGAAGTAATGTTGTGTATCAACAGAGCCTGAAATATAAATAACTTTGATTGGAGCACAGAAAGTTTAAAAAGAAGAAGAATAGTGCTTTTGAGGCAATTTTGTCATCCCAAAATGGAGACTGCCACATGGATTAATCATCATCTGCATCTTACGCAGTTTATAGCTGTATAACAGTAATTACAAATAAATTTTATCTTCACCCATGAGCACTGTAGTAAGCTTTCCTTTTCTGAGGTGCTTTTATAAAGCATAGAACAGACTATTGTTCATGGGTGTGAAGGATATATAGTTCTACTTCTGCAGGAGGAAAGTCGTGAGCCTGTAAAGCTACTGCAACTGGTGTCCCTCTGTCCTGAAGAGCTGGGCTACCTGCCTGACATTTTAGCCTTAATGGCAGTTTCTTAGCTTAATTACATTTCAGATGCAAGACTGTAACCGTTATTTGATTTCCTCTGTCCTTTATTCTTTCCCCAATGGCATGTGGACACAGGCAGGATAAAGAAGATCCCTCAGATGTTACTAAAAGCATTGCAAAAAGTGGTTTGTCCGCTGACAGCTTCTCTGAGCTGTGAACAAATGCACTTGCTTACTTCATTTTCGACCCGCTAGAGAAGCAGAATGATGTGGCTGCCCTTAAGGCAACTTCTTCTTAACGTGTGCAGAAGCAGGTTTTTAAGCAGATTGTTAAATTCAGGTGGAAAAAAGATCATTAAAATCAGTGACTGCCCTGCATCTTCACTTAGGATCACTTTTCTTTTGCTGGTTGACTGGCACCTTGCTTTTGATCTGAAACATGTGCTGTTAGATATCTCCAGACTGCAGAGAGAATGAGCTTAAGTTGAGAGGGAAACCAAGACAGCAGATGCTGTAGCCAAGGATGCAGGTTCAAAACCACCTGATTAAACCTAGCCTAAGGGAATTTTGTCCCTGCAGCTGCATGGTCTACCTTCACCTGCTGCGGTAACTTTTAGCAGATTCACTTGTAGCATGTTTGGCAGTGATGCCTTGACCCTGGCCATACTAAAAGATGCCATTGATAAATCAGCAGAGAATATGCAGGACCTTTTTGTTCAAGGGTGCAGTGTGGATCCCGCAGCCCTACTGCACGTAACACGAGCGGGGCACGTTGCTTTCAACAGCTGTAGAAAACTGACTGAAGCTGGTCCTTTCCACGTGCTTGTCTTGCCAGGGGATTAAAACTCCAGCCTGCCATTTGTGTGGAGTTTTTAAATATGTATGACCCAAACAAGGGCCTGTTGAGAAAGGCTCTAATCCTCTTGCATATGAAACCTGGTATTCTGCTCTTCTCTCTTTGTGATGTTTCTGTGCTTTCAGATATGCTAAATCTACCTTTGAAGTTTCATTTCTTCTTGTGTAAAATATACTTTAATAGGTGAACCTTGCAGCTGGGAATTAGGAGATACTGGTTCAAGCTGAACGCAAGGAGCAGTTCACGTAATCATCCTTTGCCTCGGTTTCCCCATTTGTAATGCAGAAAGAGTAACGTCCACCCTCCTGCACGCAGCTCTTTGAGCTTTGCTCTGGGTAACTAATTTAGAAGCCCTAACATAGTGTAGACCTTCTACAGTCTGGCATGAAGCCCTGCTGGAAGATATCTGCTTGGGGATGCTACGAATCCATCCATAAGGAGTAGAGGCTTCCCTATTTCTGATCAGGAATTCACGGGCAGGAATACATCTGCATGGTGAAGAGATCAGACCAGCTGTGTGGGTGCAGGGAGTCCTGCCTAGTCTGTCAGTCCCAGAGTCAGAAAATCTCTGTCTTAAGCAAATCGGATGATTTATTGCCTGTGGTCTGTATGCCAGTGATCCTGATGCGTAAAGCCTTGATTTTTCAAGAGCATTTGCATATAATAGCAGGCTGACTGTTTAGCTGCAAAGACACAAGTGACTGTAAGGTGGGTGAGAAACTCATGTAGCCAAAGACTCTTTTCATAGAAGGCTTTTTTCATGCAAGGATCTCGGGTAGGCTGAACTTTTCTGGCCTCCCTCTTGAGGTAAAGTGTGCAGGTTTTAAGTGCCTCTAGTACCTCCAGAGCTATGGAGGATCAAGAGGAAGACAGATTTTAAGAGATTGGTATCTCTTAGAGGTGTATGTAGCAGCCCTTCCCCTGGTTGGGCCAGGAGCTAGGGGATGTCTGTCCTGTAGGGCGACTGTAATGCCTTCTGATGGCAGAAATATTTGGAGCAGGGGGAGGAAGAATGTGCGCTGTTTTCAAAATGAAAATGCTTTGTGCAAAGGTACAGCAGGCTGGCCATCGTTTCCCTTTGTAAGGGCAGGGTTTCTAAGATGAGTTCAATTTTGGCATCTCTTGGAAAGACATTTGAAAGATTTTATCCATGCAGAATACAGTGGTTCTCTGCTTAGATAGGATGTCATCCCATAGCTAGACAAAAGCTGGAGTATTGAGTTTTGCTCTGATGGACCTCCTAGGAGCTCTATATAGCTCTTTAAAAACCCAAGTAACCTGCCACAAAACTGTCCAAGAGAGATCGTTGTAAGACACAGTTATAAAGTACTCTGAAAGGCTGAATAGGGTTTTTCCCCCTCTTGTGATATTTGGGGCTGAACACTAGATTACATAATTTTGAACATGGCCTTTTGAAAGTAACTTTCTATTCTGTCCCTGTCATTTTTGGAGCTGTACAGGAAAGCCAAAATGCCAGGGAAGGGGAGCAAATGAAAAGGAGCAGGGCTAAATTGTAGGTGTTGATCATCTTGGCGAGAAGTGACATCATCTATGAGAACAAAAGTCTTCGGTCACTGCAATTGGAGACAGCTTTTAGTCTCCAATTCTATTTTGCCCAGAGCCAGCCAGCCAAATAAAAACAGTGGGATAAATCACTGCTGGCAGAACTTAACAGTTATGCAACATCCAATGCACCATGCGCCTATTTTTAGACTGGTTTTACACTAGCAGAATTTACTTTACGAAATCTGAAAAGAATGTCTGGTCAGAGGCCGGAGGATAGAGGGTATGTAGAAAGTGCAAAATGTAAAAACACTTCGTACAAAGATGTGCTAGCAAACCCCACTTTGGCAATACTGATATCCTTTCAAGAGTGTTGGCTCGATCAGGCATGGTAATGAAGAGTAGAGGGTTTTTTAGAATCATAGAATCATTTAGGTTGGAAAAGACCTTTAAGATCATCAAGTCCAACCATTAACCTAACCCTGCCATCCCACCACTAAACCATGTCCCTAAGCACCTCGTCTACTCATCTTATAAATATCTCCAGGGATGGGGACTCGACCACTTCCTTGCGCAGCCCGTTCCAATGCTTAACAACCCTTTTGGTGAAGACATTTTTCCTAATGTCCAACCTAAACCTGCCCTGGCACAACTTGAGGCCATCTCCCATCATCCTATCACCCGTTACCTTGGAGAAGAGATCAACACCCCCCTCGCTACACCGTCCTTTGTAGAGGGCGATAAGGTCTCCCCTCAGCCTCCTCTTCTCCAGGCTGAACAACCCCAGTTCCCTCAGCCGCTCCTCATCAGCCTTGTGCTCCAGACCCCTCACCAGCTTTGTTGCTCTCCTCTGGACACATTCCAGCAACACAACGTCTTTCTTGTAGTGAGGGGCCCAAAACTGAACACAGTATTTCAGGTGAGGCCTCACCAGTGCTGAGTACAGGGGAAAGATGACTGCCCTGGTCCTGCTGGCCACACTCTTCCTGATACAAGCCAGGATGCCATTGGCCCTCTTGGCCACCTGGGCACACTGCTGGCTCATATTCAGCTGGCTGTCAACCAGCACCCCCAGGTCTTTTTCTACCAGGCAGCTCTCCAGCCACTCTTCCCCAAGCCTGTAGCCTTGCATGGGTTGTTGTGACCGTTCATCAGTATACCCTTGAAATTCTAATCTGCAATTGCTTCTTAAATGTTTAACTATACTCACTTTACCCAAATAGTGAGCTATATGTGGTTTACTTAAAGCTGGGCTTCTACAATATTTACGCTCTACTTTGTCTTTACGAGATCTGGAATGCAGTAAGCAGCAGCTCACCTCCTTACAGTACTGGCTGGGTGAGATTTAAAGAAATTGTGTGAACTGGAGTGCTCTGCAAAGCTGACTGAGCCACAGAAGTACTCCTCATCCTTTGTGAGATAGCCTAGATTTAATGAGCTCCTGATAGTTAGCTGGTATATGTTTCATGAATGTTTTCTCAGTCTTCAGTAAATTAGGATTGTGTATGCTGCTTGCTCCAGATCAAACTGAATATTTTCCAGTGTTCACAGGAACGTACGCTAAGTTGTATTTCATTAGTTAAAAGCAATTTCAGCTTGCAGCACAGGTATGGATAACTGAAGATTAGTCTCACATACCCTGCTCTTTATCCAAGACCAGGTGTATACCTTCTCTCCTTTCAATTTGACTTTATCTTCTTAGTCACTGTGTTGTAATTCCTCATTAGTTTGTACTGTGTAGAATTTTGTTCCCAAATTTTTTTTTCTCAGATTCAGAACAGATAACGATTGGGAAAAGTTTGACCTCTCAGCCTTTAGAGAGTCTAGCAGATAAAACCTACTCTGTGTAGCTGACGCATCTTTGGGATTTCTGCCGCAATTTGGACAGTTTTGAATCACGCCTTGAAGCGAATTAGTGTTTTGACCATTGCATGATCTGGATTGAATTTTTCTTCCCCAAAACTTTTCTTCTAGGTGACAATCTGGATGCTATCCATGACATAACTGTGGCATACCCCCAAAACATTCCTCAGACGGAGAAGCACCTTTTGAATGGAAACTTTCCAAAGGAGATTCACTTCCACGTCCGGAGGTATCCCATAGAGACAGTGCCCACTTCCAAGGAGGAGCTGCAGCTTTGGTGCCGGAAGCGTTGGGAAGAGAAAGAGGAGAGACTCCGACACTTCTATGAAGGTGGAAAATGCTTCAGTGCAACGGGGCAAAGCATTATTCCACCGTGTAAATCTGAGCTCAGGGTCCTCACGGTTAAGTGCGTCTCCCTCCTGTATTGGACGGTGTTCCCGCTGGGTATGCTGGCACTGCTGTACCTGTACAGCTTTGCACGATGGTATTTTGCAGCCATGATCATCTTTTTTGTTGTGCAGCAAAAGATATTTGGTGGGCTGGAACTAATTGAACTCGCTTGTCATCGATATTTTAAAAAGCAACAGAAATTTCACGACACAAAAATAAAAACCAATTAGTTCTGGGGTAGGTAAAGACATGAAAATGGGTGGGTTTGAGATGTCCTGCAAAGTTTATGCACAGGGAAGAATTTTTGCATGAGAATTGTCTTTTATAATCGCCATTGTTAGACATTTGCACTTGATTCCGTGAAGAGAAAGAAAAATGTTAGTTATTGCTACATGTGAAAATGGTAGTTTTTATCTCTGAATGTAATTTCAACATTGCTCCTGCAAGCAGCTAGCAACTGCATTCTGCTGTAATTAAGAAACAAATTGCTGGATTACTGAACAATCGTAAGGACGTTAATAAATGTGAGATGCACTGAACTTTCACGCAGAAACCCAAACTGTCCAGCTAAGAGAGACAGATGTACGATTGCTGTATAATCCCATTGTCGTACAGTAAGCACCGGATTTGGAAAGCTGGTAAGTTTAACAATGTTTCGATGGTAGGTGGAAGTTGGAGGAGAAGTTGTTCTGTTTCTTTTTTTCTATTTCAAATACTCAAACTCATTTTAAAATAATATTTTTGCATAAGCTTTTCCAAACACTACTGAACCTACCACTATTCAACCATTCTGGCTTGGTCACTCAGAAGGATTTTTAAGCCTTGCAGTCTTGCGTTGTAGTACAGAAAACAGCGCTGGCTGCCTCCTTTTAAGTCTTAACTGATTATTTAATAGGCCTCTGCGGCCAAGTTTTGATTTCTCACTGTTTCGGTCTCCCTGTTAGCTGTGGGAGACCTGTTCCTACTGGTGTATACAGAGCTGCGGGATAGGGGAGCTGGTTTTTTGTTGTTTTATTGGTGTTTTTTTCTGGTAGAGGCAAAAATATGTCTCTGAGTAGCTGGCAAATGTGTTTTAAAAAGGTCTCCTTGTAGACATTATTTGATTGAAAACATTTTATTTATTTTTCAGAGTAGGCAAGATATCTTAATTACATTTTTTTTTAAAAGCATTTATTTTGGGTTTTGCATTGCTTCCTTGGGCATTTCAAGTGTCCATATCAATAAGCAGGAAGACAGCTTGTTCCGTCTGTGTCAGCCAGACCTGTTGAAATGCATCTGATGCAGCAGGTGTCTCCTTATAGGTACAAGAGATGGATTTCAGACCTATCACAGCACAGGGACATTGAGCTACATCTTCCCTTTGCGGTATTGTCTTTGACTGTCTGATGACATCGTTGCTTTTCCAACCTCCTTCACAATTTTTGGGGGGTTCTTTTGGGGCTCCCACTATAACACTTTATTTTCATGACATTCAGAAAATCTGAAGGCTTAAACTCAGACAAGTCACTTTTCAGGTGTATTCCTGGTCATCTATAATACAAGCAATGTTCATGCTCACATAGTAAAAGACATAAATATTGCCAGCACTTAGGAGAGACTTCAGGTTAGATTTGGTGTTCAACCTCAAAAAATGTTAGACCACTTGATCAATTGTATTGCTGCAAAACCTTCCTGACTTACTATATATTTGTTGTTTACTGCGTAAAGGCTTGTTTGAGCTAAACCGAGGTGGCCTGGCTCCATGCGTTGAGTGGCATTGCCATGGAATGTAGAAGTACAGAGCACAAAATGTGTCTTGTACTGTGCTCAGTATCTCAAGCATTGGGTCAGCGTGGGAGACGCATCTGTTTTCTTCTAAATTACAACACTAAACATGTTGTCTAATGTGTTTGTATCCAAGGCCATTTTCTGACCGAATCACCAGCCTCTATCCAACTGTCCCTTGCAAGGTGACAAGTATTTTTTAATCTATGCTTATAATAACTGATTGTTTATTATGCAGAAAGTAATTGAAGCCATCTGTTCTACTCTATTTTTTTTAATCCCCTTTTTCTTAAAATGAAATAAAGCTAGGTTTATATTTAGGGTTATGTTTCTTAATTATTTTTTCATATTTATATTTGAGTAACTGACAACTGGTGTTTCGTTGTCACAAGTGGAAGGAGGTCCTTTCAGCACTACGAGGACTTTTTTTAACCTAATTCTGTGATACCAAGGGTGTGGTTGCAGCTTAAATCGACATAGCCTGGTTTTTGTTCACCTAATACTCTGCTTTGGTGCAGTTCCTTGCACATCCAGGTAACTTTCCGCAAGGGAAAACCTAAAAACCTCATTTATGGTTAACGCAGAGGAGGCCTAAAAGGCTGCTTCTAGTCTGTCCTGAGCCACGGCTGTGCTTTCACACCAGGAGTAACCATGGCCAGCCTACTCCGATAGCCTTAACATAGTCTTCAGGAATGTCTTTGGAGGACAGGCTATATACGTTATGTTGGTGACATAAATACCAGCTACGCTTTGCTCAGTCGTTCAGAGAACTCTGTGCTGTCGTAAAATGTATCAGAAACATCGGCGTGAGTCTTGGTCATGGAGTGGTGGAAGATTTACGTCTGTCTGTGATTAGAGTTGGGCTCTGAAAGATCAAATCAAATGCAATCCATCGTTGACCCTTACAAGGGGTTTTCTCACAGCTGGAGCCAAACACGTAACCTACTGTAATGTGGTAAACATCCTGCAAATCTGTAATTCATCCTCCTCTCTCGTATACGCGGAGTGAAGAGAAAGAATAATTTCCTTGTCAGCTGCAAATGTCACGTTTGCAGTGCCTGACTCCATGATGTGGGGTGGCACATGGTAAGTGAAGAATCCTCCTCTTACAGGGAAGGGTGTTGGCTGACGTAAATTATCAGATTGTGTGCGTCGTTTTCCAGCTCAATTAGAAATACAAGACGGGAAAAAAAATTGAATAAGAATATTTGTGGGTATGAAATGTTCTTCGTTTAAAAAGTGGTTAAGGAAGTGGGGGAAGATCTTTCTGTGAATTTTTTTTTTTTCTCTCTCTTTTGTCAAAATGTAGCTTTTTACTGAAAAGATTCTAATACACAGATGTTTTAGAGACTATTTTGTTCTTACTCACCCTGTTTCCCTATTCGTAGTATGCTAAGATGTGCTGGGTAAGTCACTTTGAAATGTTTTCAGTGCTCTTAGGTTAAAGGTGCTAGTACTCCAGGAATCACACACACCTCTCTCTCGTGGGACGCATATTGGCACCAAGACTCATCTCACTCATGAGCACGTTTGTCACAGCTCACCTTCTCTCGTAGTCCCAGCAGCCGCACCGTTCAGCGGCGACTGCTCCGTCAGTGGGACCTACAGGTCTCGCTAGGTCTTGCTGACATTGCCTGAGATCAGTGGGGTGCTTTAGGGATGCTACTCTCGTTCGCTCAATCAGATGTTTCCTCATCAGCATCAGGGGTTTCTTTCTCTTTGCTCAGAACAGAAGGTTGAAATCCTGCCATCTGTGTTTGTCATCAAGCTCATCTGGGTAGCAGGACGTCAGACCAAGACATTTCTCTCTTGGGTTCGAAGCTGCAAGGCCCAATGCTGATCTGTAAGGTGTTGTCTTGATCATACGAAATGTAGTTCCTAGTTCTGTGCATTGCATCAATCTCTGTTGTTCAAAAAAGATCTGTGTTTTTATAACTTGATTTTATATGTACACTGTGTGAAAGGAAACACCAGGATACCACAAACCTACAGAAAGCCTTAGTTTTCGGAGTTTACTGATTATATTAGAATGTTTTAACCATGTACCAGTTACTCTACAGCGACAATAAAGACCTGAAGCATTGCATGTGTTCAGTTTTGCCATCTTCTTTTTACTGCGTGACGTGTTCTGTATGCACCCATAAGGAGCAAACCTTGTCTTCAGTCGTATGGCTGGCTGTCTTGGGCAGACCGGTGTCTGTCCAGCTGCCTCAGCCCATGGTTTGTGGCTGTTGGGCTGTCTCCCTCCTCTCCATGGGAGGTTGGAAAGGGGCGACTGGCTGTACCCTCCCTTCTAGCCTCTCCGTGTGAAGGGATGCAGAAACCTTTGAGTGTGCAAGAGGTACAGCTTAATTTTAGCCTTGCTCTGCTGCTTAACCAGCATTGCTTAAGAATAAGCTGTGGTTCAAAAGAGCGTGTTAGGTATGATATGGAGGCAGTCCTCCATTTTAGCTAATTCCCGTTACAACCCATGTAATTACTGACACAAGAAATGATCTATGGCACGGTTCACGTTCTTAGAGGACCTGTGCTTAAGGTAACTGCAGATCACAGGCTGCTTGATTTATCTCTGCATTGTCCAAAAGCTAATCCTCTGTGGAAGGGCAAGGGCTGTGTTTCTTGGGAGCCGTCGCAAAACACCCGCGTCTCCAGCAAGTACCATGTGCCCTAAAGACCACAAGAAATTGAGACCCTTGTAGGAGATTCTGCAGCTGGAGATACTATTTGCAATGTCTACGTATGCTCACAGCATTCCAATCAGGCCCCAAAAGTCAAAGCTGAGCCATGCTCTGCATTGAGCGGCTTTGTCTCCCTGAAAAGATGGTTGTCGCTTCCTCCTTGTTTCCTTGGGGCTCAAATATGCAATGAAAAAATTGATTTGTCTGCCTTACCCACCATTACAGAAAATAATGGTAATGGATGCCAAAGCTTTTGCACTCCAGCTGCCCCAAACACCTCCTCTGAAGTGCAATTCAATGGGTAAAAGGTTGAGGCTTATTTCCTGAGGACTTTGAATCAGATCGCAAGCTATCTCGACCAGAAATTATTGCCGGAGTGGGGAGCATGCTGTGTGCTTATAACATGCTTGGGTGACTCTCCCTCATCCTAGGGAGGACTTGTGCTGAGATGCTGGAGAGGCAGAGGGAGCTCACCCCTGCCCTTGCTGGGCCTCTCCAAAGGCCCAGCATATTCAGCAGAGGCAGTGATAATTCCTGAATTTCTAAGCAACCATCTCTGGTTTATTCCAGCCTGGCCTCTGTATGGTTTGTCATCCCTTTTTCTGGAGTTCTTCATGCGGGGTGACTTGTTTTCTCTGGTGGTGGGATGTGCAGGAGGCTGGCAGGAGGAATTTGAGCAAAACTCTGCATTTTCTTGGATGGGCATTGCTGGTCTCAGGAGGAGGAGGAAGGGTGTTTGCTCCTTCGAGCTGCTTTGCACTGGGCTGCACGAGAGA